CATTAACGTGCGGAAGACCTGGACAGCTAACGAGAGACGCTAGGTTAAGTCGAAAATAAGACAATATCAGCACAACCAACGAGAAGCGAAGTGCAAGACACACAGACAGAGGTACAAGCACACAGCGAGAAAGGGTATGTTGAATGGATAGTAAGTAAATGCTGACACGAGGAATAAATGCCGTACGACTGACAGAAGAATAGGAAAGATGACGCGGCGGGTGGAAGAAACGGGGAAGAGGGCGCGAGGATTGAGGAAGGGGCGAAACATATTGACTGGAAGGTAAGCAGCACGGCCATACTTATAGTTGGGCGGCACTCACATTGTCCCAGCCCGTATTGCCCGATTGAGGGACCAAAGCGATCGCGCAAGCGTTGCGCCTACCCGATTGAGATACGGGTGGCCATGGGCATTGTGATGCGTGCGTTCACGCATGCCACCCAGGAACAATGGTGCGGATCTCGCTGCGCGCACGAGGATGGAAAATACTTATCGCTCCTGGCACTCCCTAGACACCTTTTTCCGCCCTTGCACTTTTTTTTTTCATGCGCATATCCGGTTGAGCCAACAAGCTCCCATTTTATTTTCTCTTATTTTCACCCACCTGCCCAGCCACCTCTCTCTCCTGCCTCCGATGGCATCCCAACCTCAAACTCGAGCCAGCGCCAAGGCTGCCACCCGCTGCAGCTGCACCACCGACGGGTGGAACCCAGTCTCGCACCGTAAAAACTGTATGTACAGTGTCCCCGAAAATTGGAATTGGAATCAAGGCTAATCGTGCGTCTCTCCAGGAACACGAGCCGTCGAATCACAATGGGAAAACCCAGGCCAAATCCAAGACCCCCAAAGTCCCGTTAGAGAAGGCGGGTTCCCTGCCGCCCATGCCCCAGGCGGACCTGCCCGCGCCAAAAGCGAAACACGCCCCGAGGGACTCTGCACCTGCAGCACCTGCCGCCACTCCTGGAATGCCGCGCGCGATGTGAGACGTATGTTTCAGGCCCTCGTGTTCCCTCGGGTTTGTTTTGCTAACGCAAGTTTTTGTTTTAGATTTTGCTGGATACAGTCAGCGACCAGCTGCCACCGGCGGACCTGCCCACACCAAAAGGGAAACGTGCTTCGAAGGACTCTACACCTGCGGCACCTGCCACTGCCGCCACTCCTGAAAATCCTGGAACGTCGCGCGTGGCGCGAGACGTATGTTTCAGGTCATCGGGTTCTCTCGGGCTTGCTTTGCTAACGCGTTTTTTGTTTTTTAGATTGTGCAGGATACAGTCGGCGACCAGCTGGCACCCTGGCGGCTCTCCGAGGTACGTCGCTCGTTGCTGCTCGTTGCTGTTACCTTGACGAACACTCACGCGCGCTTAAGAACGTCGCCCACATTGCCTCGGGGGGGTTCAGCAGACCGCAACCCGGCTCTTCTACGCGCCCTGCATCTCTGGAGTTTGGCGACGACTTGCCGCTGGCGGCGCTCTCTCAGTGCTTAGGATTCTTGCTGCGTGAGGGTGGCAAGGCTCAGCCCCCGGCTTTGCAACCCCACCACCCATCGACGACGTCGTGGACTTCGAGAAAGGGGCTGACGGTGCACAGACGCCATTTGTGGAGGAGCCCAAAGATGGCGAGGCAGCGGGGAGCTGTGCATCGACCCCATCTGTCCCAGTACCCGAGGAGGACGACCTCGCGAACGAGGAAGATGACGGTGGCAACCGTTCAGATAGTGGGGAGTCCAACTTCAGCACTACCGATGCCGCGGAGCACAAGGAAGCTGGCCGTCAAAATCAAGTCCTGGAGGGCTTACCTTGGGTGGCACAGACGGTGCCTATTGAGGAGCAGGACGAGGAAGACATGGAGTGCTTCGAGGAGGAAGCCGAGGCGGAGTTATCACGCAAGAGTAAGCGGGCGTCAGTGGGGAAGAAGGGGAAGGGGAAGGACGACGACGACGCGGTCAGGGGCGTGGCAGCGAAGGCGAAGGCGAAGGCGAAGGCGAAGGCGAAGGCGAAAGGGAAAGGGAAGGTGAAGGGGAATGACGACGACGACGCCGGGGTCAATGACGCGGACAAGCGCGCCAGCCCCTGCAGTCAGGATAACACGTTATATTCCAGGGTGAGGCCCACAGCTGTAATGTGTTATATTAGGGCTGTTGCCGTACAGCCACATCTGACCAATTATGGTATAAAGATGATGTAATTTCCACAGCAAAATAAATGGCACCTGCCAGAATTGAACTAGAGACCTCCTGCTAAGAAGATTAATTAGAACATGTATGATTTAACCACTATACTATACAGCTGTTAGCAAACTAGTTTCCTTCCCAGTTAGGGTAAGCTTACACTTACCCTAACTGAGACCTGTTACACACAGCTAATACCCAGACCTAGGGCAGGCAAGCTGCCCTAGGTCTTTGAAACTGTATTGGCATGCTTGGTATGTGATTAGAAGATGTTTCTAACCTTAACCAACCTAACCATCAAAGTCATCAAAAGCTGACAAATCTCCTCCAATATCTTTTCTTCAATATACCTGAACCCTAAGCCCTAACCAACCCTAACCACTAACCTGAACTCTAAGCACTAACCAGGGCCCCTAAGGTGGGGCCTAGTGGGTGGTAATACCAGCTTATTATGTATTTTGTGTTTTGAGGGTGTACAGTATGGTCCTGTGCTATAGCTTGTTTGGTAAAGGCTCTTTGGTGTAGTTGGTTATAGCACTTCTCTTACAGCATTACATAATTGTAATGCTAGAGGTTTTGGGTTCGAAACTGACCATGACCTTTCCTTTATTAAATAAATGCCACCCCTAACATAACACATTACACTTTAGGGCCACAGCCCAAACATAATGCGTTATCATGGCCTCATAGGGTGAGCGCGCCGGGGACGACAAGGACCCCATGCAGGAGGATGATCCGCAGGAGCAGCCGCGTTGGGAGCTGACGCCGGGCCAAATGTTGAAGGAGGACCTCGAGGAGGTGCTTGCCACCCGCCGCCAGTACCACGCAACAGTCCAGACGGTGGCCCGTCACTCGGGGAAGAAGATGGTCACGGTGTTCAAGGCTGTCGGGGACGGTGCCACGACAAGGTGGCACACCAACCCGTGGAACGTGTTCCAGACGAAGTACTGCAGTGAAAAGCCAAAGCGTGCCGACGGTGAGTTTCTGTTTCTGTTCGCGCATTCTCCTGAGCTGACACCGCCAATTTTTCAGTGAGTGCCGACGAATATCGCCAAGAGATATCAGCTGCGTACACCGAGCTCTTCGCGGATCTCCCCGAGGAGGACCGCAACAATCCTGACGAACAGTGCAAATGTGTCAAAGAGGTCATGGACTGGTACCACAAGAACTCTATGGTTTTGCTGGACGAGAGGAAGGCGGGTGGGAACACGCATGTGCTGATGAGCAAGATCATGAAGCCGTTCATACACCAGGTGAGTTTAGTGCCCGTCTGCAAGATTTCAGCACTTAACCGACCCACAGAGCATGGTGGCAGGCAGCACCTACGACGTCGAAGTCTTCGGCTTCGGCATCGATACCTTCAGCAATGTCACCATTATCTGGGGTGGCACACCCACTTTCTATGCCGTTTACGAGGTGTTCGAGCAGCCCATCAAAAGCAAGCTCGCCGAACTGAAAGCGATGTTTCAGTAAGTGTACAAGTCCACAGAACTGCCTTGGTCGCTAGACTAACGTCATGGACAGGGTAACCAATATGAAGCGCCGCGGTGGCGAGGTGGGTCACCGACCTATACTCATCGACTTCGGCAAGAAACCGACAGAAACCACCGTACATGACGCAAAATGCCGGATAGCCGGGAGTTGTTTATTGAATGACATACGTGCGTCGCTCGTTCGGTGAAATGTTGAATGCCACTAACTTTGATTTTTTTGTTCTGTCTTAGTCAATGTTATTGCGGACTGCGACAAGGAGGAGCGAAACCGCCCCGCGCCAACCAAGATGTCTTGGAAATGGGCAGACTATGCCCTGAGGTACGGGCTGCGCCTGGAGGGATGGCCCAACGCTCTCAAGGCGACCTTCCCCGCGCCCGGCTTCGACCTTACCCACATCAAGGGGAAGGAAGGGAATGAGGTGCTGATAGAGATGTGTGTGCAGATGCAGAAGAGATATTTGAGTGCTGACAACACTGGGGATGGCCCGATTATTGTCTCGTGGACGGAGGGTGCGTGCTTACATTCTTCCTCGTCGCGCCTGCTCTAACCGCGATTATGGCAGAGGAACACGACTTCAACACGGCCGAGACCCTGACGGAGGTCCCTATCGTCCTGGCCGACGACGGCACCATATTGCTGCGCGCTGATGCCTCGAAGTTGCTTATCCACACCATCGTCAACGAGAAAAAGGCAGCCGAGAAAGAGGTGGCCAGGCCCAAGAAACGCAAGGCTCCCGCTTCTGCTTCGGTTCCGGAGGCAGAGGGACGGAAATCGAAGAAGACCAAACACATCCGCTCAGACGACAGCGACGACGAGATGCCACCACCATCTCCACCGGCCGGACCATTGTCACGGCCTGCCGTGGAACCGCTCAAGTCCCGTTACACATGCAGCTATGTGTCTGCGGATGGCGAGTGCTCTCGGTATTGGGGGGCAACCGGGATGCGGAAGTACACAGGAGAGCCCATGAAGGCGCAGAAGGCCGTGGAGTGTTGGGATGAGGGCACCGCGTCCTGGCACACCCTCCCGCGGGGTATGGAGATGATTGAGGATCCGGATTACGCAGCGGAGTGCGCATGTATTCGGATGTGGTACAGTTTGGAGGAGGATTAAGCAGTGTTGCTATGTTTTTGGACTGCTTTCCGTTTATGATGACACGTCTTTATTATCTTTTTGGGCCGCTAGCAGTTGTTTGTTTGGCTGCGATCGGCATCTCGGCATCCATCGAAAAGAATGGCTGGGCAAAAACATGGCCGCTGAGCTAGTGCTTATTAGTAGAGTAATTAAAGACAGGACATCTTGAGGGACGATAAAGAAAAAAATCAAGCGATAGAGAAAGAGGCCGTAGTGGGATTCGAACCCACGCGATGGAGGCACCAGAGATTATCAAAATTACGGTGGTCCGATGCTTTAACCACAAAGCCATATGGCCGTAAAGATATACTGTATATACTCAGACATATCTATGCGTAAAGTGAATGACTGATTTATTTATATGACGTGCGGCAAACATGAACCAAACAACCGCTACTGCCCCAATAAGGCAATTGGGGCCGAAAACAACTGATAAAAAAATAACAAGTCTATATATAAAAATTGCGGAAAATCACAAGTCTTTTCAAATCCTGGATGCATCCATCCTGTTGTTTGGCTGCCCAATGGATGCATCCACATGAGCTTGAGGCATGTGGATGCATCCAGCAGGCACCGATGGATGCATCCACATACGATGGACACATCCATTGGGGAACCAAACAAAGGCCATGGATCCATCCATGGGGATGGATGGGTCCACTAGCAGTGGATGCATCCAGCGTTTAAATAAAATAAAAAACCTATGGATGCACCCATCTGGGCGTGGATGCAACCAGCATATATCATGGGACCAATGGTTGCATCCACCCAGGTGGATGCAAGTGGATGCATCCAGCGTTTCAATAAAATAAAAAACCTATGGATGCACCCATCTGGGCGTGGATGCAACCATGGTCCACATGGCGGGATATGGATACATCCAGGACTCCAAAAAAATATAAAACATGAATGCGTCCACCGTATGTGGTCGCATCCAGGTGCGAACAGCATGGAGGCATCCATATCATTTTTTGTACCCACTGGATGCATCCATGGCCTGTTAAAAATGCAGAATGGATGCATCCATGGCCCCTCAAAACTTATAAATGGGTGCATCCACAGGTCCTTCTCCCTGGGAGTCTGGATGCATCCATGAAAGGGGATTTTCAGTTATCAAATGTGATACAAACAATATGATAAGGCATGCAATCGCGTGTTATAGCTACGATATGAAAGGCAAGGCTACCAGCTACTATGAGCTGGACCGAGCACAGGCAAGGCAAGGGTACCGGATGTAACTGCAAGGCTATGGGGTTGTAAAATGCTACTGCATGTACGCACACGGGCAATGCTACAGAATGTATGCATGCAGGCAGGGCTACCGAATACCGAATGCACAGAAATACTACCGAATGTGCACATGCAGGCAATGCTACCCGATGTACGCACACAGGCAGGGCTACCAAATGCATGCAGGCAATGCTACCAAATGCATGCAGGCAATGCTACGGAATGTACGCACGCAGGCAATGCTACTGAATGTATGCATGCAGGCAGGGCTACCAATTGTACGCAGGCAGGGCTACCAATTGTACGCACGCAGGCAGGGCTACCAATTGTATGCACGCAGGCAGGGCTACCAATTGTATGCACGCATGCAGGCAGGCCTACTGATTGTATGCACGCACACAGGCAGGGCTACCGATTGTATGCACGCATGCAGGCAGGGCTACCCATTGTACGCACGCAGGCAGGGCTACCAATTGTATGCACGCATGCAGGCAGGGCTACCCATTGTATGCACGCAGGCAATGCTACCAAATGTATGCATGCAGGCAGGGCTACGGAATGTACGCTGGACCAGAGACCATCTCCTAGCCAGCATCTACAGGCATCCAGGCAGGATATGATGCACTCTATACATGCCCAGAAGAGGCAGGATGAGTCCCAGCAGCAGGGCCCAGCAAGGGCCATGATTTGGGCCCTGTGGGGGCCCTGGAATCCAAAAAATGAGCTGGGCTGTGGGGGATGCTGGATGCACCCATATGCAGGGTGATGTGACACCTGGGCACATCCATGGTGGGACCAAGGTGGATGCATCCATCACCCTGGATGCACCCATACACATGGGATGCAACCAGGTATCGGACCTCCTTAGGGCCCATTACTCATTGACCGGAATGGTCCTAATGAGGTCTGATTTGAGGTAGCCTGAAGTGAAGCCGAACTGTTACTGGTACAACACCATTTCCGCTACTAGAACCGGGACTCCCATCTCTTTAGAACGGTATGACGGCGGACTTGTACGCACTGGTGGTACCCAGATGTGCAGCTGCGCAGTCCACATAGGATTTGCTCATTCAACTCGGGCTTACACCATTCCACTGCAGTGATGATTCGATATCCAACCATCCAAGCATGAGCTGCAAGGAGGAAGGAAGTATAATGGTTCCTTTGTACAAAAATAGATCTGCGCGGGTGAAGAAGAAATAGTAAGGGCCCCCTACTCGCTGATTCTACCCAAATCCTATTGTGCCAATGTCGAGCGGTAGGAAACCCAAGGTTTCAAATACATTTTGGATCCATTATATGACATGAAGCAGAGGGCTAACAGATATGACCCCATGTGGAAATCCGTATTCGTGGGCGAAGTATACATAGAGCACTTGAGGAACACACCGAATAAAGGAAAATTTCGACCTAGGTCGAAATGTTAGACAGAATTGTATCAGTCTGTAGCCGAATCAGATCCACGAAACATTGTTCTACTAGTTAGTCTGGAATTTACAACAGAAAGGGCCGCAATGAGCGGCACTTTCAAACTTCACATGTTTTTTGAATATCAATGAGATATGAAAGGGAAGCTGAATGTTCATCATTCAGCAACCCTTCCAAAGCACTAGAAAAAGCGAATTTCAATACAGTTGAAAGGTGCATTGATATTCTTTCTTTCAGTTTTTTTTTTTTTGGGAAAGATTTACCAGAAATTTGCAGGGCTGCCCATTCGGCTCGGGATCAAGAAATGAATCACCACGCCATCTCTTTTTCACTATCGCCCAAACCATTCCCAGCGCTGCATCGCACGGATCTTCTGTGCTGCCCCATCCTGCCGGAATATATTTTCATAGGCACCCTTCTCCACGGTTCGCCGGAATCATCTGCCTCTCTGCAGATCACTCACAGCGCACCAGGCGATGTAGTATGCACCATATGCAATGATCAACTTTACATTTGGTATTAAACAAAAAATCCCTACTACTGATCAGATGTCCTACCCTGCACACTAAGCAATGCAATGGAGCGTATGGATCATAAAAATGAAAGAACATAATCTCCTGAATCGCAATTCATAAACTCCACTGTCCATCAGGGATTCAAAGATCTGAGGGAATTCATTTAATGAGAACATTGACAAGACTTCACTCACGGAAGATAGTTGTGGACTCTTGGAGCTTCATTCACTCCCCGCGTCTTCCAGTGCTTGAATCGTCGCGGCCAACTGACGAGTGCTCTTCAGTGTATGCAGATGATCTCCACCTAAGATCTGCCAGAACATGTTAGAGGCCCGCTCCTGAAGCTCACGCGCCTCTGAGAGGCGACCCATTAGGAAACAGGTTAGCCCCAAACTTGCCAGACTAAGTAGAGTACTGGGATGATCCTCGCCAAGGATTTCCCTGCGCTTGTTCAAGACCACCTTCTGCAGTTCTGCTGCTTTAGGAAACTGTCCCATCTGGCAGTAGTGGGTCGCAAGGTTCCCCATTGTCAACAGAGTGTCTGGATGATCCTCGCCGAGGAGTTCCGTTTGCTTGCTCAAGACCACTTTCTCTAGTTCTGCAGCCTTGGGAAACTGTCCCATATCTGAGTAGTCAGCTGCCAGGTTTCCCATAGTTTGCAGAGTGTCTGGATGAGCCTTGCCAAGGAGTTCTATTTGCTTGTTCAAGACCACTTTCTGCAGTTCTGCAGCCTCCTGAAACTGTCCCATCTCCGAGTAGTTGCTTGCCAGGTTTCCCATGGTCATCAGAGTATCTCGATGATCCTCGCCGAGGAGCTCAGTGCGCTTGTTCAGGACCACTTTCCCTAGTTCTGCAGCCCCCTGAAACTGTCCCATGGTTGTGTAGTCAAGTGCAAGGTCTGCCATGGTTGTCAGAGTCTTTGGATGTTCCTCGCCGAGGAGCTCCCTGCGCTTGTTCAGCACCATCTTGTCCAGCTCCACTGCCTGGGGAAACATCCCACTCCCCCTGTACATTGTGGCTAGCATCTCTTGAATAGTTAGAGTTTGGTGTTCATCCAGCTGGAATGATGGGGTTTGCAGCACAGATTGCCCCAGGCATACCCCATCCCTCCACTTTCCTTCTTTGTGATATACCCACAGACACTGTGATGCAAATGAGGTGTCGAGGATGTTGGGCTGGCGGCTCGAATCCTGGCCCATCTTGAAGAAAAGTGCATCAAGATGGGGAAACATTTGGTGTGAGAAGCGAAAATCATCATCCCTTGAGGACAATGCCATTCCTATCAGTTTGTGCATGCACAGTTCAGTGGGAGTATCCACTTCCACTATGGTCCTGCACCATTCATGCACCAATGGATGAATTGAGAAGGTAATGTCTCCCAAGGCAGCCTGAAAGTCGATCAATGAGAAGCGTGCAAGCTCATTGGTAAGTGCTATAAATTTGAGTGAATCCCACTTGGAACCTGGACTGGCGAGGAATTTGGCCAAGAATCCCAATGGTTCCTGGAGATCCACCTCAGAAGGCCCATGTGCAGTAATCTCGTACGATGCAGCTTGGCGAAACAATTCCTCTGTTATCCCATCATGGTGGATGAAAGAGCAAAGTTCAAGCAGTTCCCTTGCCTGTCTGGAAATCTTCTGGAAACTGATCTGCCATGTTGTATAAACTGACCACTCATACTCAGATTGTGGGGGCTGTTGATCCAGTAACTGTCTCCGGCTCCGGGTGCTCTTATACAAGTCGAGGTATTTTTGAAGGGACCGGGATGAGGAGATATATGCTCCGGCCTGTGCCACAGCCAACGGGAAGCAATGGAGTTTCTATTTCATTGTTTAACTGAAGTTTAATATTGTGGAGATGGAACATACCTGGACAATTTGCTCGGCGAGATCTCTGTTATTGTCTTCCATGATATCATATTGAGCAGCAGATAGCAGAAGATCAATTGCTTCCTCAAGTGCCATCTGCTCAACCTTGTGCACACCCTTTGCAATCTGACCAAGGTTGGGATTTCGGGACGTCATAAGGATGTTTCCGTGAGAGCCAGAGGGAAAATACTGCACAAGCTTGAGATGGATGTCATCCGCATTGTTGAATACCATCATCCATTCTTGATGTTGGTGCG